CTCGTAAATGTCATGAATAATTTCTTAATAATTATTCTGGATAAAAAACTGAGTCGCGCCCTCTAATTAATTCAATAATATTTACTTATTTCACAAGAACAACATTGTTTGCAAATAATTCCTTCGTAATACTTCCGTATTTTCACAATTTTACCCATGGATAGCTCTCGTTATTCAGTAATTAGACTTGGAGCAGGAAATGTCTTCAGAAAAAAACTTCGAAATAATTAACATAATTTTGTTACGACACAGAGGCAAATATCAACTGATGTAATGTGTAGATGTATTGCGTTAGTGTGACAGTAGCGCAATGACACAGAAGTGAAAGTCACGTCTCTTATTTTTCCGAAGATCGTGTCTAAATTGTGTCATGTTTCAATGTTAACAATTTTAATTTCAAGTGCAAGCGAATAATAATAATAGTATTGAATGTTGAATGTTTCATCCGTAATTTTAAGAGTGGTTATATAATTGCGTTTATCCAAGAGTTCGTAGAAATGCCTTGAGGAAATGTCCACGGACCGTCACCTAATGCTGATTTATCAATGATGTCATTACAATATTATTAGAAAATCGGTAAAGTCTGAGAACAAGAAGCCTTTTAAGTCATTAAGACTACTTATTTAAATGTGTCGGATTCGTACATGTATGACACATGTAAATGTTGCGTAGAATCTATATACGCATGAAATGTGGCTATCTTGCGTAGAATTTATACAAGCGTGTTATTATGACATGTGCTCATGGAATGACATGTGTAATTTTGCTGTAAGAGTTTTTTTATATTATCGGATATTTCTTGTCGAAAAATAAATTTAAAAGGTCATATTATCTCATTTCGGTGCCATTTTTTTGAATTACAGCTTTTTAAAGACATCTAATTCAAGTGCTTCATTGTTGTACTCTTCCAATAGGGTCTTTAATGCATTTAATTTGCTTCGTACTATATGCCTTTGATCATATTATTGGAAAATAACTAAAGGACGTATTTTACTGTCGCTGCACAGCTTTTGAACGCTAAACTATATTTTTTCAAATCAGAGTAAATAAAACTATCGTCATCATGAAGTCTATATTACAAAAGAAAGAATTGGTTTGAAGCTTCAATGAAAATAAAACTTTTACAATTTCAGCTTATGTTTCATATGAAAACATTAATACCATGGTCATATGGCTTCTCCCAAATACAGGCAGGTTGGGAGGTAATTGAATCCTGGTTGTATGTACCGTAGAGTTTCTCGTGTGGTGATCAGTGTCTTATGAAACAACAGAGTTCCGAGTTAAATGATTTTTTTACATGTAAAATCATAGCTTTCAAATCACTTTAAAGATTGTTTAAGATTGAGAAATTAAATTCCCATTCATATACATTAAATCTGAATGTACTAAATGAACCTATTTGTATAGTTGTTTGTCTCGTCAAAGCCATTACTTAGTACAGTACAAAAAAAAATTATGAAAATTTAGTAGCCATTTTTGTGCAATTTAGGTTCGAAGAATCGTGTTACTGCAGAAGGAAATAACCTTGATACCCTAAATATTATTTTGTTAGACAACTTTATATGCTACTCTGGAATTTCGGTAATGATATTGTTTTCTAAATATTTTTACTGCCGCTAAAGGTTTTTAATTTTATACATTTAATTATATTTCAATATTTATTGATTCATTTATTTCTCTATAGAAGGGTACATTTACAAGATGAATTGAAGCAAACCGCTTGTAGCGTCGGAATGATTTTAAGTAATTTCCACTAGTGCACTGGTTGCTTCCTTGACTGTACGTGTTGTGTATCGTACGGACCTGAGTTGTCATTTTAAAAATTCTCATGGTCAAAAAGGATTTATATTTAATCCGTGGGCATTTTTTTGGATGTTCGAATGTTTTCTATATATATATTGAATATATGTGTAGAACTTTAAATTATGTCCAGCGCGTGCATTGCCTGAATTTTTTAACTTTTTTTTTTGTGGGGTTGGCCTTCTCTTGACTATCATGTCGGCCGGGGCGCTCATAATTCAGTAATGAGACTTGCACTTCATGGGAGAGGGGCAGGGATTAGTATTAATACCTTTTAAGAATTAAATATACATTATAGCGGTTGGCAGTTATTCCTGACTACCTGAAAATAAAATATGACGCCGTTAAATAAATTGATAAATGCTTATATCGAAAGCTTAAAGCAGTGTAAACTGTTATTTAATCAAGTACAATGAAAAGAAATAACAAAAACTATGATGAATTAACGCAGTAATAGCAAATAATCATTAATATTGTGATTTAACTCACAATCGTAGAATTTCTACAATCCAAAAGTCTCCATGCCTGAAATGAAGTAGAGAAGGTAAATCAAATAACTACCCAGTCAATGTACAGTAAGCGTGCCTCATCAGTGACCTAAAAGTCCGTATTTACCGGGACTACGGAACAGAACTGCGGATCAAAGCAAGCTGCCGATATTGCCACTCCGGACTACGACTCTTGCCAACGACTCCTAATGTTCACTAATGAAGCTAAAATGCTGGGCCCATCATCTGCCTCACGCGCCTTTACAAGAGGAAACAGGTTGCATTTTTACTGATATATAAGCGGCTGTTACAAGCAAACAAGGAGGCACTAATGACAATTTGCTCTGAAAATCTGTTCAAACTGTCCTCCATTCGAGCCTTTTAATTTTACACTGGGTGCACAACAACTTTCGGTACTTAAATTTTTCTAAGACATTGAGCAAGGTTTTACAACGAGCACCCTTGTTGATGCAATCAATGTGAAAGTCGAAAATTTATTTATAAAAACTCTTTTTATTGAATTGTTCTAATACATTAAAAGGAATTGAACCATTTTTTTAAATAAAATATTTGTGAATTAAAATTTGGTTATTTAGAATAAGCACCCCAGACGTTACTGAGGTTGGTATTCTTAACAGGGTTTATTGATTAAATAATATAAACAAATTAGGTCTATTTAAACAACTTTAAGAATTACAATTCAATGTAAAAAATACATTGCAAACATCAAATCCCAAATGATAAGCTAAACATCTTATTCAAAGTACTGAGCTGAAATATAATCACATAAAGCTTTAAAAGCATATTTTGAGAAGCGATATCACCACATGAATTTGTGAAGATAGGAATTTGAAAAATTCCTTTTGCAGCCAAAAATTGTCTTTATCCTGCTCTTCTGTTTAATCTAGGGTGCGTTTTCTTAACAAGGTCATACTGGGGTGCTTATTCATGACAAGATCCGNGTGTGTGTGTCGCCGTCTCGCAGACCTCGCTGAGAGGCGTCGCCTTCTACGGCTTCGATTCAGTAGCTTTTGCTTGCCGACCGAACTTTTCACTTGGAAAATCGTTATTCATATCATGAACGAGGTTAAATAATAATCTTATTTTCGAAGTTGGATCAAGGGTTACCAATAATCATCAAAGCGTAAATTAAAGAGATTTAAATAAAACATAAGATTTATCAATTTTAAGTGAACCACGTCGGCCTGAATCGTTATACTCAATGGCAACAAATATTCCATAAATTTATCATATGAAGTGAATAACAAAATATCCCTGCAATGCTTTGAGCAATAATTATTTAGTATGGCCTTTTATTGCAGCAATTAAACACATTTAAGTGATTAGTCGCCGCAGTGTTAGCGGTGTGCAATTTACGTAACTTTTGCAATTACGGATGCATTGAGCTGCAGTGAATTACAATCGGCATAGTGATCATTACGTCGACTTTTTACGCGCTCTGTTTTCAATTTAGATGGAAAATAATCAAATTTTGACCGCTAAGATGCCCTTAACTGCCGAAGTTAAAACCTTTTCATGTAGTTAATTCCTTGAACTTTTATTACTTAAGCAAATTTTGCTCTCATTCTTAAAAAAACAAAAACACATAATAACGATAATTTTGATTTTGAAAATAGGAAAATATCGCGAATTTCACCGAGACAAGAATCAACAGTATTCGACATATCAGAATGTTTTCTCAATAGCAGAGAACCTAGTTCTCGTTGATGAAATTTATCTTCCTAGCAAACTCTTCATAGCATGAATACATATAAATTGAGTGAAATTTTATGTATTTAAATGAAGAAATTACTCGATTGTAAAAGCATCCTAAAATCAAAAAATTATTTTATGAATATTTAAAATAAATTTTCCGTCTCGTATTTTCCAAATAAGAATCAACTTTACAAAACGAACGTCCAACTTTCACCAGAAAGAACTAAATTGAACATTACAGGAGCGGTGTAAAATTTAAAATTTAAATTTATTAAAGTGTGTAAAAATATTATTTGTGAAACATGGAAGGAGCACCAGTAAAGAAGACTATTTTTATTAAATCATTCTCTCCTTAAAAATATATCGATTATTAAAATTACTATTAATATCAATAAATTAATTTTATGAAAAATTTGTTTTGTTATTTAATTGTTATCTTAATTTGTATGTTTGTTAATATGATTAATTTTATTGAAGACAAGAGCACGGTTGCGAACGCTAAGCAAATGATGATTATACATTTGTAACATTCGCAAACTCAAATTTTGCTCGTAGTCACCATCAGTTTTCAAAGTTATTCCAATACAATACATTTTCGTGGACAGGATACGTGAGTATAATGATTTGATAAATTAATGATAAGAGGTTGAAATGATTAGAGGAGTAGTAAATCCGTGTGCTTTTAAATCGAAATTAGCAGCAAAGTTACTTAAAAATGGCCTGAGAAAACTGCCAGCTAAAGAGGAAAATGTTGATAAAATTAACCTAGACGCAGCAGAATGAAGAAATAGATTGGGATAAAATTATCTCGTTTCAAAAAAAAAAAAAGTTCACGAATAAACTCTATACTCCACAGAATGAAAACGAAAGTTCACGTAGTCTTTTTAGTCTTCACGGAAGGAAGACACAAATTCACGATGTCACTCTATTCTCAATAGAATGAGTACAAAAGTTCACGAATTTAGTCTAGTCTGCGAAATGAAGACACAAATTCACGACGTCACTCTATTCTCAATAGAATGAGTACAAAAGTTCACGAATTCAGTCTAGTCTGCGGAATGAAGACACAAATTCCCAAAGTCACTCTAGTCGCATCAGCATGAGTGACGGTCATGACTGCAAGACGCTCCCAGATTCATGCTGCTTGCTGCAGTGTCGCAGTGCTGGCTTTCGTATGCGTAGCCCACGTTGTTGGTGAGTCAAACGTACACTTAATTTTTAAAATTTAAAATAAATCCATTAAAATTCAAATATAATTTTGAATTCAACAAATTTATTTTGTTTCCGTATAGGTAACGTTATGAAATTGCTGTCAAATTAGTACAATAGAAGATTATGAAAGCTGCGTTGATATTGGACGTCGTAAAATGTGACTTTTATCCACGTCTATGAATATTTATTAACATGGCTAAAATTTATCAATGGTTAGTATCATTAGTTGGATTGAAACTGGACTTCTTTATTTTCAAATCCATGACATAAAATTCACGTGACTGTGCTATTAATATACAAAAAAAATATAACTCAGTACTAACTGCAGTGAGTGACAGAGCGCATTTTCTCGTCGACGAAAACGTGAAGTCGCAGACGGACGGACAGATGGACATAGCGAGCACAATAGTGCATTTTTCCATAAATGAGAAAATGCTCTAAAAATAAGTGATTTGATAATTTTAATTGTTACCTATCAATTTAACCACAATATCAAAAAGAATTGACTATAATATCAAAATATACCAGAAATTTATGAAACATTTTTTAAAGAGAAAAACTATATCGAAAATAAAATGAAAAATAATTGAAGTGTTTAACTAATGAGAATTGTTAGAATACTAAAAGCAATTTTTTAAGAATATTATTCTTATTGCCGATAAAATTTAGGATACTCTGCACGATAATAAAAGTTAAATTATAAATAATATCACAATAAATCAATTTTCTTAATTTACATTATACATACGAATTTTTTATTTGGGTTTTATTTAACTAACTAATGCATTGAAAATGAAAATAAAATCTGCTTCTGTACACACTGTGTAAATCGCACTAAGCTTAACCACACTCGTAACTCCTCTCCGCGTATTCCAAACCACCGGCATTCTATTAGCCAGCAAATTGCATACACACGCTAAATAAATAAATGAGCTTGTTGCCAGCATACCGCATTACAACTTTCTGGTAATTTTGTCGCTGTTTAAATTGAATAAAAATCTTTAGAGACGTCAGCTGGAATAAATTAGCACCGGTTTACTGTGAAAAATATGTGAGCAGAAATCTCATGTTTTTCAACCACTAGACACTGATAAAAAATCGGTTTCATATATGTTTATGGTTAACATAAAAATCCAGGGCGACATTTGCCTATTTTAATAAAATCTCTCATTGCACTTCACAACTTTGCGGCAGAGCATCCAATTTAGAGAATATATTGCTCCTATTAAAACTTGAAATGTCCTCTGAGTTTCAAATTTTTTATCCTCTTTTGTCAGTACTTCTGTAAAGTATTTGAATTTTTAATGGTTTGAGTTGTTGAGACGAGTACACATGTAATTTTCTGGCTCACTTAATGCAACCAAGAAATGCTATGAAGAGATTAAGCGAAAATTTGAGATGTTTTTCGCAACTTTAATTTTGAATTTAGAATTTAAGTTAGAAAATGAGTTGGCTAAGAGCAAATTTCCAAATTTACTATCAAACATCTTATGAATAAACAAAGTTTGTTACTTATTACGAGGACTTGCTCTTAGTTTGCAAAGTCAATAGGAATAATTAAGCTACCTATTCATTCATAATTTTTTTCATTAAATTTTTATTTGAAAAGAAAGCTGCATAGGCATACACTATGTCAAAAAAACATAATAAAAATATATTAAATAGTAATTTAATATATTTTAAAAGTGGCTTTCATCATTCTGAATACAAATTTAAAGTGATTTTCATCGTTCTGAATACTAATATAAGGTGGCTTTCATCATTCTGGCTTCAGAATATTCTTAACATAAGTAATAAAACTTTTTGCAAACGAATGAACTGAATATTGGTTGAATGTAAGTTGAATGAACTGCCATGTTTTAAAGTTGTCAGCTTTTCCTCAATGGTACAGCAATGAAGGTACTTACCAAATAGGGGTTTTCAGTATATTCTTGCAGCAAGTTTTATTGATAAATAATTCCTAAGCCTGATACCAGCGTGAATAATTTATTAGAACTGGAAGGGCAATGGTAGCAAGGAAATTTAATATTGTTTAATACATTTAAATTTTAGATTAATCTGGGTTGCATGAGAAAAAGTAAGCAAGTGTTAGAAAAAATTTATATATGTTACAAGCCCTCCGACAAAAATATGCACAGTGAATTAAATAGAGTAATTTAAATGAAATAAAGCTACAACTTTTTGAGATAGTTCTTTCACAAGTATGCTCGAAAAATGTAGCCTCCAGTCAAAATAAGTACATTCATTTACACACTTGAGACGTTCATTTATTGAGTGAGTGATGCATCTTACTAATAATGCTGAAAAATATTATTTTATAAAGAGAAAAAAATATGTGAAAAATTATTGCGCCGGGATACTCTACAATAATATTTCCATTGATTTTTTATTATTCCTCATTACAAATGCCGAGAAACTCTGGAAGTAATTGTTTCAATTTGTTACCTGGTATAAAATTCATTAAATACTACATATAATTGTATCATGAATAAGCAAAAAATCCTTTGAGATATTTTGGTTTCGGTTAGGTTTATCTTTATTATTTTGAGATAATTTGAAATGAGTTATGGAAGCATCAAAACAATTAGTAAAATATGTTAATTATTACAAATATTTCAACAGGTAAGATCCTCATCTCTACAGCTCACATGCCATGAAAATTGCTAATATGAAGGATAACTTCTTTTTTTTAATTGTATTTTTTGGGACCTCGGTTAGCTGAATAAATGAATAACAGTGAAAGTCTGGTAAAAACTGAGGGAACAAATTAAATTATCTGACCTGGCCAAGCTAGAAATGGGAAGGAAAAAACTCGAGCCATCACAGGCGGGAAAACAGAAATAACTTAACGCAGAATTTTTATATTAATTTGAAAACACTTTTTCATTCGGAAACATTATGATTTTCAAATTCAATTTTAACTTCACGATTTTATATACAATGCCACATTTTGATAGTATATATACAGGGTATTGACTATTGAGATGTAATACACCATCATTATTCCTCAAAATATAAACTTTCAGAAAGCATTGCAGAAAATTTTCCGATAATCTTTATACAGTTTCCGTTCCCACCGAAGCATGCCTGTCTGTCTCTACTATATGGACACCATTAACCACGGCCGTCGTTGTTTATTGATAGCTTTATTGATGCTAAGCTGCCGACTTTTGCTTGCCTAACCAAACAACTCTGATCTCTGCCGAGGCAGCTTTTACCAAGACGTCTTGGGAAGTCAACTTAATATTTATCTTTTGTTTCTATTTTAATCAATTATTAGGGGTCTATAAACCAAACCTGCAGAGACAATAGCCTGTTTATAGAAGCTGAGTTTGTTATTTGAAAATGCAATTGCCAATGGCTTACATTCGTTGAGTAGAAACTTAGAATGCTTTCCTTGTCGATATGGCACAAGTAAAAAGTGTATATCGTTTCTCATAGCCTCTAATTTTTGTCAATCTATGAAAAAATGAACAGTATTTTCTATAATTGATTATCTCAACCTCATATGAGTTATTCAACGTTCATTTCCGGGGAATGATATTACACAAATTGATCCTAAATAAACCAGAATATTTCTTTTCTGATTGTAGTATATAGTGACATGTTGTATTCTTTGAAGATGAAAGATTGCCCATAATGGAGTGTAATTTTACGCTCTATCTTTCCTACTGATGGTCTGTTTACAAGAACTAATCTAGAGCTTCTGTTAGGAAGAGCTGATGATGACGTCAAAATTGTGAAACGTAATAGGATTGCTGGCGCCGCGGAAAATACGCGTGTTGTGATAGAATGATTTAGCTTTGTATTGTCCTGTTCAATGTCAAAGAGAGATGTCTCAATGTTGTACTTCACAAAATATATTCTTAAATTTATAAATTAATTTTAGTTTATTCGAGATTTTTTGTAATAAACATTCACGTATCGCGATTTTTTTATGAACACTCACGTTTAAATAAACATTCAAGAGTTTATCGGGCTATACGTTGTCTTGATCAAGCTAAGGATCATGAACGTCCACTTATATTGACTATACAAAGCAAACCTATTTTGCCAAATAGTTTCTTCTGTCAATAATTTTGGATCGTAAGCAGAAAATATTGTTCGACAAATATAAATCATCTGTCTTGAAATTCACGGCAAAGTTATTCGGCAAAATATATTTAAACACTTAAAAAATTTCAATTTTAAAAGAGGCTCTACACGTACTATATTTTTTATTTGTAGCTCTACCGATATTCTTGTCCAGTCGCCAGAGTAAGCATATTTGTCACAAATCGAAGCCCTTCCCATTCGTGCCAAAACCTTTAAGAAGATTTTGAGCCCATGCGTATCCCAGCTGTCCAAAGCAAAATTTTCAAGTTATTCTCTTTCCAAAAACAATGTTCCAGTGCTTCGTCTTCTCTAAAAAAAAAAGAAAAGCCTCGGTTAGGGCGAGAGAGCGCGCCATTTATGCTGAAAAATGACGACAATGAAGAGTCTTCGTTGCAACAACGGTCGATTGCTATGAGACAGCCACAGAGATTGTCTTATTTGCCTTCTGTGCAAGATTTATGGTATTATTCAGGTAGCTTTCACAATTTGAATATTTGGAACTGAATTTTTCCCTTTGGGTAGTAAAGGGCTTTCCTAGCGATTTCGTGAATGATTTTCAGTATTTTTATATTCCAAGTATCGATGGCTGGAATCAATTGAATAGAATTGAACAAGATTTCATTAAATCAATCATGTTTCAAATAGCCAATGTTATTATTATATTTAATAATAATTAATAGTACTTTAATGTAATAATAGTTACATATTTATAATTATTATTATTGATAACTATTTATTGAAAAATTATTTTCATTTACAACAGTAAAAATTTTGCTACTGAATTTAAAAAATAATTAAATGGCAGTACTAATGTATTAGTTATTATGGACAATGGAAGGAGTAGCCAGGGTTTGTTAATGTCATCGTAGGATGAAAGCAATTTGCGC